CGACCTGCCTCTCCCCGTGTTTCCCGCACTGGGTACTGGAAGAGAGCGCATCGCCCAACACCCAATGAATGTGAAAACCGTGCACCTTGGCCAACACATCGGAACGCCTGGGCACGCATCCTGGACACATACGTTGCGATTGGTTTCGTGTTCTGTCACCTTGTCCGCACCCCCACCCCCCATCGATCGTATTGGGGGGGGGGCCCATTTCATACTGATCTAGCTCGACGGTGATTACAAGTTGACCCTCCACAAGGAAAGCGACCCAAGACGCTTCAGCCCAGATTTCCTGGTTCTACAACCAGCTAAAAAGACACACTTAGCTTCTGAAGGGTACCTGCCCGAACCGAACTTGTTGCCTGCCGACATGATCTACTGCAACCAGATGATGTCCTACGCCTAGCATGCTTATCAGACACCGTAACGCAGGGGAAGCGTTCACTAGGAAGTCTGAGACTTCCGGGACGACATACACACTGGCACTCGACGATCTTTGCGTATGTACTCGAGCTTCAAGAACATTGGCCTCCAGGCGTTCCAACGGGCTTGGTTAGAAATGCACACCACATCTGGGTCCGTCTACAAGGCAAAACAAAGTCTGGCGGTCGGCGGCTATGGTTGCCTTCGCCCCCATGAGAACCACCGCGGAAAAGGCGCATAGTGCTCTGCCACGCCTAGCGACTGCGCAATACCTGGAACAGGGCCCGACGTAACTGCCGATACTTGTCCCGACCCAGGCCTAAGCGAACGCACAGACAACCCCGATCTCGTCATTCACTCGATGTCTGGCTTCAGCCCGAAACCATCTGAGACGACCAATTGGCTGAGATGACCCCGACTTAGATGCCATCTCATCTTGCACGGAACGGCATGGAGCGGCGAGTGGAGATGATGTTGTCGTCGTCGTCGTCGTCGTCGTCGTCGTCGTCGTCGTCGTCGTCGTCGTCGTCGTCGTCGTCGTCGTCGTCGTCCTGCTCCTGCTCCTGCTCATCCGCCTTCTCCGCCTTGTCCTACTCCTCATCCGCCGTGTCCCCCCCTCCCCCCTCCCCCGGACATCCAGTGCCACACGAAACCGTGACGTTTTTGGCTCACCACCTGGACTCCTAGACATCCGTGCTGGCCTCTGGGCCCTCAGGGAAACCACACCCCGACGAGAAAGTGCCTGGTTCACTCACCTCCTCCTCGCTCCTCCTCCTCCTCCTCCTCCTCCTCCTCTACTTACCTCCTCCCCTCCTTCCTTCTCTCCTCCTCCTCGTCCTCCTCCTCCTCCTCCTCCTCCCCTCTCATCCTCATCCTCCTGCGTCCTCCTCGCTTCTCCTCTTCCTCCTCCGACTCACTTCCTCTCTCTCTCCTCCGCCTCCTCGCTCCTCCTCTCCTCCTCCGCTCCTCTGCCTCTCCTCCTCCTCCTCCTCTTCTCTCCTCCTCCTCGCTCCTCCTCCCGGCCCCAGGCCTGAAGCGGGGTCAAATGGCTAGGCTACCGGGTCTGGATATTGGATCGGGTCGCTGGCGGGGAAAATCCTCCTAATCGGAACGAAAGTCGGAATCGCCGTGCCTGGTCGGGCCGCCCCGGCGATGCTTGCCCGGGAGGAGGGGGAGGAGGAGGAGGAGGGAGTGGAGGAGAGGAGGAGGATGGAGGAGGAGGAGGAGGAGGAGGAGGAGGGTGGGAGGAGGAGGAGGAGGAGAGAGGAGGAGGAGGAGAGGAGGAGGAGGAGGAGGAGGAGGAGGAGGAGGAGGGGGAGGAGGAGGAGGAGGAGGAGGAGGAGGGAGGAGGGGTAGGAGAGGAGGAGGAGGGGGAGGAGGAGGCGGCCCCGGCCAGCGCATTGAGGGCCACATCGGATCGGATCGCAGGCGGCAATTGCCTCCTCCTCCGAGGAGGCGGCCCCGGCCAGCGCATTGAGGGCCACATCGGATCGGATCGCAGGCGGCAATTGCCTCCTCCTCCGCCTCTCGTCCCCCCTCGTGCCTCTCTCTCTCCTCCCTCGGGCGCCTCCTCCTCCCCCGTCGAGTCCCGAGGCGCACGGCGGAGACGTTGCAGGAGGGCGGCTGCCGATAAGGCAGGGCAGCCTTCTGCCTGACCCCCGCTCCGCCGCGCCCGCCGCCCGGAGAAGCGAGAGCGAGCGCCGCGCGCGACGCGCGCCGGGCGCGAGCAGGCTCGCCCGCGCTCCAGCGGCGCACAGGGGCGGTCTCTGCGCCTCCTCCGCGCGGCGCGGAGCAGCAGGACGAGGCCAGGGCGGGGACGCGTTCGAGCGAGGATCCATCGCGAACCTCTGAGGTCGGGCGGCTCTGGAGAATGCCTCGGGCGCCGCGGCCTTCTCAGGGCGTTTCGGAACGCTCTGGGAGCGTTCCGGACCGTTCTGGATTTATCCTCGTCCGAGCCCCGTACGAATTAGACGAGCACTCGTTCAGCCTCTGCATGGCCTAGACGGGGCTCTGAGTGGCGCGCCACACATAGACTCGAGACAGAGAGCTCCAGCACACCCCTGGCGAAGAACTGACCGGGGGGTCCCCCATGGTGCCCAGCCTGCGGGCCTCCGGTTGGGACTCCTGCCCCTGGGACTTCCCTGGGGGATTGGGATTATTCAAAATGATCTGGTTCTTGCCATTGCCCAGCAGCCCGATTTTTTCCTGAGCGACCTCCTCAGCATCACGATGTAGATTAGATTCCACTGGGGGCCTGAGGAAGCTCCGAGACATCGCACGGGTGCCTGCATGAACAATGCGGATCCCCAAGAATTCCTCAGGACCGAATCCTGGGGAATTCCTCTGCGCATTTCTCCAGCAACCCCAACCCCAAGAACGTCTTGAATCCTGCTGATCCCCAACGGAACCCGGAAGAAGATGACCCTCACTGTCCGAGGACTTCCCCGCGGGTCCGGATGCAGGATCTCCTACGGAATGCTGTAAGCTTCCTCGGGGCTCCTAAGGATTCCCCAGTGGAGCCCCGAAGATTTCATCAAGCGCACTTCGCGGACCCCGCGGTGCCTCGCTGCAGCGCAGCTCCCCCGCGCGAGGCTCCCGCCCGCGCGCGCGCATCCACTCGCGCAGTGCGGCGCCAAGGCCCGTCGCGGAGCGAGGCTCCCGCCGGTGCGACGAAGAGGCGCCAGCCCCGCGCGACGCCCCCGCCAACGCGCGCAGTGCCCAGTCGCGCAGCGGCGCGACACTTCCAGCCGCCAAGCGAGACCCTCCTCCTCCCCTTCCTCCTCCTCCTCCTCCTCCTCCTCCTCCTCCTCCTCCTCCTCTCCTCCTCCTTCTCCTCTCTCCTCCTCCCCTGATCCTGCTCTTCCACCTCCCCCCCCATCCTCCTCCTCCTCCTCCTCCTCCTCCTCCTCCTCCTCCTCCTCCTCCTCCTCCTCCTCCTCCTCCTCCCTCTATCCTCCGCCTCCTCTCCTCCTCCTCCTCCTCCTCCTCCTCCCTCCTCCTCCTCCTCCCTCCTCCTCTCCTCCTCCTCCTCCTCCTCCTCCTGCTCTCCTCCTGCTCCTCCTCCTGCTCGCTCCTCCTCCCCCTCCTCCTCTCCTTCCTCCTCCTCCTCCTCCTCCCCTCCTCCTTCCTCCTCCTCCTCCTCTCCTCCTTCCTCCTCCTCTCCTCCTCCTCCTCCTCCCACCCCTCCTCCTCCTCCTCCTCCTCCTCCTCATCCTCCTCCTCCTCCTCCTCCTCCTCCTCCTCCTCCTCTTCCCCTTCTAAGCGAAACTTCCAGCCGCCAGTCGCCGCTTCGACGCAACTGCCCCTTCTAAGCGAAACTTCCAGCCGCCAGTCGCCGCTTCGACGCAACTGCGCCACCGCGCGTTGCGCGACGCGCTAGCAGTGGCCAGTCTCTGCGAGACGCCACCAAGTTCACGTAGGGAGGCCCCCCCCCCAGAATCGCGGAGCGACCCCCGCCGATGCGAACAAAGGAGCCTCCCTCCTTTGAAGGGGGTCTCGTGGGGTAGAGGGCGAAGAAGGAAGTTTCCCGCCAGGCGCATGCGAGGCAGGTGTTCGGGGGGCACTGGGACACGGGCGGCAAGAGTGCTGCAAGCATCCCCCTCAATCCTACTGAGGGGGGATGCGAGCGCGCGTTTCCTGGCAAGTCCCCCAACCCTCCTCCTCCTCCTCCTCCTCCTCCTCCTCCTCCCTCCTCCTCCTCCTCTCCCTCCTCCTCCGCCTCCTCCTCCGCTCTCCTCCGTCCTCCTCCTCCTCTCCTCCACTTCTCCCTCTCCCGCTCCTTCCTCTCCTCCCCTCCTCCTCCTCTCCCCCCTCCTCCTCCTCCTGTCTCTCCTCCCTGTCCTCTCCTCCTCCTCATCCTCCTCCTCCTCCTCCTCCTCCTCCTCCTCCGCCTCGTTCTCCTGTTTCTCCTCCTCCTCTTCCTCCTCCTCCGCCTCCTGTTCCTCCTCCGCCTCCTCCTCTTCTTTTTATTCGTAGTATTAGTATTCGTATACATGCTACTCTCATTACCAGTATTAGTAGTATCATCCTTCTTCTTCTTCTTCATAGTGTTAGTACTACTATCAGTTCCCTTATTGTTTGCTGTAGTAAGGAAAGTAGCAGTTTCAGGATTGTGTTCAAAATTATCGATATGATGAGCATCCTTATTATTGGTAATATTCTGTTTAGTCCCAGTATTAGTATTAGTATGAATGGCTGTTGTTGTATTTTTGTTGTCAGTGTTAATCAGATTAGTAGTCGTACCCTTAATATAATTACTACTCTTATTATTATTATTAATATGACCAGTCCACTTATTATTAGTGGTCCTCTTAATATTATGTTTTTGCTTATGCTTATGCTTCATATTATCCTTCTTAATAGCATTGAGATTATTATTCCTCCTTCTCCTCCGCCTCCTCCTCCTCCTCCTCCTCCTCCTCCTCCGCTTCCTCCTCCTCCCGCTCCGCCTCCTTCACCTTCTCCTCCTCCTCCTCCTCCTCCTCCTCCCTCCCCCTCCTTCTCCTCCTCTCCTCCTCCTCTCCTCCTCCTTCCTCCTCCTCCTTATCCTCGCCTCTCCTGCTTCGGGCGCCCCTATGGGCCTCGAGCAGGGCGTCAAGCTGCTCGCGATCCCCGGCGCAGTTGAGGAGGGCATGCATGTTCAACGACCTTAGCTCCTCCTCCAGGGAGCGTGACAGCATTGGTACCCAACGCTCGAGGTTCGAAGGTACAGGATATAGGTTGTTGGGCGTCGACCTGGATCTCCTTCTGAGCCTCCGATGAGGCCTCCAGAGGCCTCCGGGGATGTCTAGGGCCCTCGAGGGACCTCCCGAGACGTCCTCTTACCTCCATAGATCTAGCCGTGTGGCGAGTGGAAACCACTGCTGCAGACTTTGTTCACAACGTTCGGCGTCCCGAAACCAATGTTGAGACCCCCGGACTGGAAAAATATAATCTTGGGGCAGGAGTCGACAGATGACGAGAGGTCTGGAGCCAACGGGGCCCCATGGTCGCACCGAATCGCCGATGCACCGACGATGCATCGGCGATGTCGGGATGGGGTATGTGACGCGACGTGATGCGATCGCCCTACCCCGTGTCGCGCCTTACTGCAGACGCGATGTGATGCGACCCCCCTACCCCGTCTAACTGCCCTGGCTCCATGTGGCCATGCGGGAGGCCTGGGCAAGCCTCGACCAGGAGGAACCTGCACTTGACCTCCAGGCGTCGTGGGCGGGCACGCGTTTGGCACGTGTCGGGCCCCGAGACCCTCGGGAGTCGATCCGGAGCTTTTTTTCGTGTGTTGCTCACGGCATCGTCTCTTCTTCCGCGACGTCGGTGGCGGGAGAGTAACATTCGAGGGCCCACGAAGACCCAACAGACCTAGACCTGAACCTTTCGAGGCGGACCCAGCCGTGGTGACGAGTGCGCCCCCAGGCCCCGAGGAGGCAGACAAAAACAGCAACGTCCAAACGCTTCGATCCTCGGTCCTCCTTTAGTTCTTACGGGTTCCAGGGGGGTTCGCAGCAGCAGTCCAGGAAAAACCGCCAGGCACCCACATGCCCAACTTGGGCCCAGTCCCTTGCGGGAATGCACGCAATCCACCTGGCCAGGATCCGATGTCCGCCGGGACTTGGGCGCAAAGGCCGACTCTGGACCCCCCCGGGGGCCCGCCTGCGTTGCCCCCGGTCTTGGGGGAACTCCCGCTCCCGCACGCCACACGCACACAACGCCCTGCCCCCGACAAAATCCGGCGAGGAGGCCTCGCGCGGTCTGCGCGAGGCACCAGAACGCCGACAGCGGCGCCGTGGAATTTATTGCGAGACCATCGACAAGGAGAGGAGGAGGAGGAGGAGGAGGAGGTCGAGGAAGAAGAGGAGGAAGGAGGTGAGGAGGAGAGTAGGAGGAGGAGGAGGAGGGCGCCGCGCACCATCGCAGTGCGCGCACCGCAGGAGCAGCACAGCAAGCAGGCAGCTCTCGCGCAGGAAAGGAGCCGTGCCGCACCTTAAACCCCAGCCCGACGCTACCCGCTCCTTCGGGGGCGGCCAAGTCGCAGGAAGGTGGGGCGTCCACGAGGGGGGGGGCGCAAATCATGACCCGCGGCACGTGCGCGGCCCAGGGTGGGGGCCAGGGACGTCATGAAATAAGGAGCTGCGCCATGAAGTCCGGGGAGGTATCATGGCCCCCGCCATGATATCCCACCCCCCCCTAGTCATCCCCCCCCTCTTTGCCGCCCCCGACTCCTGCATGCCACACACCCCGCGCGAGATCGACCTTGCCGGAAGCGGCGGGGGGGGGGCCACCCGACCCCGGGAAAGAACCAGAGCTCGAGGAGGGAGCGAGGATGACGCCCCACAGGTAGAGGGAAAAGAACCATTCACATACACCGATTCTGGCCAGGCCCATCCTGAGCCCAGGATCGGTGCATACGCCCTCCGACCTTGGCCAGGAAGGCATATGCACCGATCCTGGGTCAAGGATGGGCCTTGCCAGGATCGGTGCATGTGCATAGTCCTCTTCGCCCGAACAGGTTCTCTGTCCGAGAGGCAAGACCAGCACAACGGGGCGCCCCCCGAATCCACTCCCCGCAACCGGTCGCCACCCGGGTCGGGCAGCTCCAAGGGAGGGGAGAGGAGAACCTCGCAGAGTCCACAAGGATGACTTAGCCCCTCAGTCCTCAGCTCATGTCCGCCGGTCCCCTTGTGGGGCCACCAGGCTGCAGGCCGAGGTTGCTGCTCCCTGCGCCAGTTGCAGCTTCAGGTCTCCAATGATACAGTCCTGCTTTCTGCTTCCTATTGTAAACTGTGGACGTCCGCGCGAGGGGGGGGGAGCCCAAAAAGAGCAATTTACCACACCCGGATCGCGTTGCCTGAATTCTCGGGCGGGGAGGGGACACGTAAAATACATGATAATCGCACCCACGAGGCCATACTCCTTCGTGAATGACGCAATGCTCGCGTCCCCGAGGCCGCAAACCTTCGTAAAACGCACAAGAATTGTTGCGTTCCCGAGACAAGACACCCTAGTAAATCAAACCATATTCACGTCCCCGAGGCCAGAAACCCTTGCAAGCTATTCCATATTCGCATTGCTGTGGCCAAGTGTGCTCCGAGGCGCCCGAAGATGGTTCCAAGACTGCCCAAGAGGGCTCCAAGAGGCTTCCTGAGAGAGCCCGAAGAGGTCAAGAGGTCAAAATGGTCGAGCTGACGTACGTCTTTCAAGGATTTTAGCCTCTCGCACCGTCGGCCCTCCGACGCTCCAAGACGGCTCGAGAAGCTCCCAAGACCGCCCCAAGCCAGTCTAAGAGGCCTCCAAGAGGGCCCCAAGACAGCCCAAGAGGGCTCCAAGATGGCCCAAGAAGCGCTCAAGACGGCCCAAGAGGGCCCCAAGACGGCCCCAAGAAGGGCCCGAGCAGGGGACCACAAACCGAACATTCTATATTGGTGCCCCGAGAAGCCCACAGGAGGACCCTAATGAGCCGCCAAGACGCCCCAAGAGGCCCCAAGAGGCGCCCAGGACGCGCCCGAGAGGCATCCAAGAGGCCAAACATAGACCCCACGAGGCCCCAAGAGGCCGCCAAGAGGCGCCCAAACCGCCTCCAAGAGGCCCCCGAGAGGCTCCCCACACCCCAACACATATATATATATATATATATATATACATATATATATATATATATATGTATATATATATAGATATATGTAGATATATATATATACATATATATATATATATATATGAGGCCTCAGACCCACAACCCAGGCACAGTGGCAAGATGGGCCAAAGGCAACAAGGAAAACGTCAACGTCTCAATATGCGCTGATGACTCCTATCCGCCCCCGCATGGTGTTCCCAGATGCGCCAAGGCAGCGCCGAGACGCACCGAGGCGACTCTGGTATATCCGATTCTGACAGAGAGGGGGCCGGCGGCAGGGGGCGAAGCCCTGACGGGTAAATATCCGAACATCTCACACGTTCACCGTCGCAGCCTGTGCCATCCCTAAGCACGCACTGGTGGGCTGCAGAAGATATTCAACACATGATGAAAGATGTTTGCCAGCGCGGGCCTCAAACAATGAGACGTTGCACTGTGGATGTGTGAGCTATACAGTGTGATCTATGACGAGTGATCTATACGGTGTGAGCTGTGATATGTCAGCTGTGTGGCGCAATATATGTCGTGCAATGTATGTGGTGTGAACTACGCAGTGTAAGCTATTTGGAGCAAATATGTGACATGATCTGTGTGGCGTAAGTTCTGTGTTGCGATCTATGCGGTGTGAGCTATGTGGTGTAGGCTACCTGTTGCAGACTAAGTGGTGCCATCGATGCAGTAACCCCACCAGCCCTCTACGACGTGAGTGGTTTAGAGCGCTTCCTCTTCCAACCCCGTTCTTCATTCTTTCAATTCGGGTAGAAGCTTTTCACTGTTCCCTATTAATACACACATGCACTCTCCCCCAGGCGACCAGCATCCAACCAGGACCAATGAGGGCAACCCCACACCATCCCTGTCAAAGAACAGTGAACAATCCACTCTGGGGCAAATAACTTGGGTCATGATCGGGGGGGTGCGCGAGCAGTTTGTCTTGATTTTAACAGGGACGGCGGGGGGTGCCATAATGTTCCCTGCTGCGCGCAGGGCCAGCATCCCTAAACGAAATAGAATGCACTTCGCGACAAGATCTGGATCATGCGCGGGCACCCCGCGATCACTGCGCAGTGGTTTTGACTGGGACGGCGGGGATGCTGGCATATTGCCTGCTATGTGCAGGCCCACCAGACGCTGTGCTGGCCACCCCGCCGCGATTGCGCACTGGATTTCGACAGGGGTGGTGGGGGCCGACACATTTCGCGATGTGTACTGCGACGCGCGCAGGCGCACCTGGCACACTCTGCGCGTGCCCCGGACGCGGAGCACTTTGCGCGGCTGGAACATGTGGCACACATAGCGCACGTGGATCACGTGGCGCAACTGGCGCACCAGGCGTGCCCGGCACGCTTCGGCCACAGGGTGGCCTGGCGCACCTGGTGCGCGTGGCGCGCCTGGCGCACCTCGCCCCAGCGTTGCGCACATGGGGTCTGTTTTGGTTCCCAGTAGCTGTCCATTCAAAGCCTACCTACCGCTGAACGCGCTGCAGCTCGGGTGCTACTTCTGTGTTGGGAGGGCGGGTGACAGTGCGTGACGCGGGTTACGGGCGGGGAGGGCGTTTTGACCCCTCCCCCTGCCCCCCCCCCCTGGGTCTGGAGGGGACCGGCCGCGGGTTGTTAGAGCGTACAGGATGGCCTCGGCGAGGAAGCCCAACTCACTCATGTTACTAAGGTTGTTGGCCACCTGTTGGCCTCCAAGGGGGGGGGACTCTAGTTGAGGAGCCCCCATCCTTTGATCGATCTCCTCCAAGGCCCCCCAGGCTCCCAAGGGCGCCCCAAGACGGCACCGAGAGGTGCTCAGGAGGCCCCAAGAGGCCCCAAAGAGGCCCCCAAGATGCCCCCAATAGGCTCCCAAGAGACCCCCAAAGGCCCAAAGAGGCTTCCCAGAGGCACCCCAAACACCTCACGATACCCCTGGGACTGCCAAAAGACCCCAAAACACACCAAGAGAACTCCAAGAAGCTCTCAGAAGAAATCCGAAAAGACTCCAAGAGGCATCCAAGAGGCTTCTGCCCGTTCTCCTTGCCCTCCTCCTCCTCCTCCTCCTCCTCCTCCTCATCTTCCTCCTCCTGCATCTCACATGTCCTCCTCCATCCTCCTCCTCTTAGCGTACGACGTTTTACCCAGCTTCATTTTCCACTGCAGGCTCCTCCACATCCCTGATCAGGGTAACTCGTCTGGGCATTGTTTCTGGATGGGGCTGGTGGTGTTACGCGAAGCGTTTCTACATGCAGTGTCTGTGGCGGGAGCCACGTGGTGTAAGCTCAGTGGTGCAATCTGCGTGGTGCGAGCTAACGAGGCGCGAGTCACGCGGCGCAAGCTGCGTGGTGAACCCTGTGGACCTGTGGGCTAAGAGGCGCAAGCCATGGGAGGCAATCTCCGTGGCGTGAGCCGTGCAGTGCACGCACGGTGCGCCCGCGAGGCGGCCACAGGGGCGACCGCGTGGCAGCGCCGCGCCAGACCCACACACGCAGCGCACGAGGTGGCCACGAGGCGGCAGCGTGGCGGACCTCGCCGGGCCCACACGGCGTGCGAGGCGGTCGCGCGGCGGCCACGGGCGGCAGCATGGCCCGCCCGGGGCACGAGGCGGCCACGAGGCGGCCAGGAGGCGTCCGCGGGGCGAAGACCTCGCCAGACCCACCCAGCGCAGGAGGCGGGCACGAGGACCGGCAGCGCGGCAAAACCTGGCCAGGCCCAAGCAGCGCACGAGGCGGCCACGAGGCGGCCACGGGCGGAAGCGTGGCGAAGTCTCGCCAGGCCCACACAGCGCACGAGGCGGCCACGAGGCGGCCACGGCGGGACCACGGAACACTCTCGCCTGGCCCAACCGATTCCTCAGTGAGACAATCAAGATCCCCTGAGTGTACGCATGCACCGTAGAAGAGCGCAGACGGAGGTAGGATCACTGCGTGCAACTCGTCATGACAACGGCATGGGCACGCTCACCAGTCTGCGTCTTGCCCACCAAGCGGTGCGTAGCCGACGGGACGGATCTGGTCGGGTGTAAGCAATTTGTCAACAATATCGGGCCACCCACATACGCCGAATAAGTCCGAGCCGTCCCACAAGGGCAGTAAAGACTGCGAGGGACACTAGAGAAGCCATCATCAGTGCTCAGGAAGATGCAATTCCAGTCCACCAACTGGTTGTCGAGAGGAGGGAGGAAGCGAAGGTAGGCGGAGGGAGGAAGACCAAATGGGCCTGAAAGGCCTCGTGGCCGTGGGTGGGTATTTCCCCCCTCTCGATCCTCGTAGGCCTCTATCACCAGCTCCCCCATGCCGCCGACCACCACGGAGTCGACCACCCGCTCGAGAAACCTGCAGAAAACCAGGAGGAGGATCCAACCTCTTCCTCCTCCTCCTCCTCCTCCTCCACCTCCCCTGCCTCGTCATACCTCTTTTTCCTTCTCTTCCTCAATCTCCTCCCCCCACCTGCCTCCTCGCCGTCTCCCCCATACCTCGTCGTTGTCCTCCTCCTCCTCCTCCTCCTCCTCCTCCGCCTTCCCTTATAGCTTCTCCTTGTCCTCCTCGCTCCTCGCTCACCTCCCTCTACTTCCTCATCCCCCTCCTCCCTCCCCCCTCGCCCTCCTCCTCCTCTCTCTACCTCTTGCTTCCCCCCCTCCTCCTGCCTCCTCCTCCTCCTCGTCCTCCTCCTCCTCCTCGCCCTCCTCCTCCATCCGTCTTTCTCTCAGATCGCTCCCCCTCGACGCACCACCGCAGAGATATCGGCACGGCGGCCAAGTGCGTTCCGCCGACTCGTTTTCACTACGTGGCTCGGGCCTGAAGGCCCAACACGTTCCCTCTGACATGTTGCAACACCTCCACCGTTGGGGTGCACTTTGAGTTCCGTGCGTGGCCCTCGTTTTGGCGGCGGGCACGTTCGTCCTGGCTCGCTCCAACACCCACCTGTGCATGCAGCGATCCCCGCTCTCAAGCTGTAGCTCACGCCGTATCACCAGGCTCCTTCGCCCCAGCATGGCCCCACAATTGCACGAAGAGAGGGTTGATCACGTTCAACACGGGCTATCGCTCGAGACGTCCTCGGCATGTCTGCCCAGGGAACTTCCACCCGTGGCGCAAACATGTGGGTGACGGGCCGCGTCTGACTTGAGACTCTCGCAGGGAGGAGGAGGAGGAGGAGGAGGAGGAGGAGGAGGAGGAAGAGGAGGAGGAGGAGGAGAAGGAGGAGGAGGGAGATCCGCACCCTTTTGGCTCAAGCCATTTTGGCTCAAGCCATTTGGGCTCTAGCCTCGCGCGCGCCGGGGTTCTTTCGAACGCGGCATGGCTGCGGTCCTCGCGCGTGGCCATGCTCTGGCCACGCTCGCGCCTCTCGTGTGGGCGGCTGCGGCTTGCGCGGCGGAGGGCGGCGCAGGGCGCCCCCTCGTCGCCGCCGCCGTGGCGGCCGCCCTCCGCACGGGCTCCGACCTCCTCGGCCTGTCGACGCGGCCCTCTGGGGCTGGTGCCGACGCGGCCGATGGCGGTGCACCGCATGAAGACGCCCCGCGACCTGGAGATGCGCCGCCTGCCGCTGCCGCGGGCAAAGCAGCGCGTCGTCGCAGGCGCAGGCGGCGTCTGGCCGAGCGGCGGGCCGCCGCTGCTGCTGCTGGAGCCGCTGGTGCTGCAGCTCGCGCCGACGATGGCGGCGGCGCCGCCGCCGCTGGGGCTACTGGCGCGGGCCTCGGGCTTGCGCTCGTGGCCATGGCGGCCCCCGACGCCCTCGGCGACGACGACATGGCGTCCATCGACGACGAGTGGGCTGTCACGCCCGCCGCTGCGGCGCCACCGGTGCCGCCTGCGGCAGTGGCGCGGGTGCCCCCTCGCGACGGCGTTGACGCCGCGGAGCCAGTCGGTGCGGGTGCGCTGGCTGGCGGAGCGGTGGCGGCGCCTGCGGCGGCTGCTGCTGCTGCTGCCGCGGCGGTGGACGCGGACGCGGAGCGCGGGCGGCTGATGGCGGCGTACGTCGGGCTTCCTCGCCGCCCCGAGCCCCCCTGGGGGGCTTGGGAGCGCTGGCCGCTTGGCCGGCTCGCCGCTTTCGTCGTCCAGGCGGAGGCGGCCGCCGGCTCTGGTGCGGGGCGGGGGAAGCAGAGGAAGGGTCGGCGATAATGCGCGCCCCCGTGGAGGGGGTGCGCCGCCTGCCCCTTCCCCCCCGCCTCGCACATCTCGGACTCGTTCGGCGTGGGGCTGGACTGGGTCCTTTGAGGCTCGTGGGACGGGCCGCGGTTGTATGTGGCGCGCTGAGAGCGACATCTTGGCGCCAGGCTTGGTCGAGGAGGAGGAGGAGGAGGAGGAGGAGGAGGAGGAGGAGGAGGAGGAGGAGGAGGAGGAGCAAACGCAGAGCTTGAGGCGCGACGGGCTTCGTCTAGCGACCTCCACGCTGTCCGTGGAGGTCACTTGCTGGCTCGGGCGGCGCGGGTGGTGTGCACAGGTCGTAGTTTTCGGTGGGCGGGGAAGGCTGAGCAGCGGCGGGCGGCGGGCCCGCGCCTCGGCCTCCGTGCGGCGAGGCGCCGAGCCGAAGGGCCAGACGCGCGGCGGCACGTGCTTCATTCAGGTGCGAGTATCTCGCAGCCTCGAACGCGTTCACATCGTAGGAGGCCTGGAGGTCCCTGTACGTGTGGTACATGCGGCACGCGACTGCCAAGCGGACCATCGCGTGGGAAACGTGGTTCTCGTCGCTCGGGCCAACGGAGTGGCAGCTGCATTGCAGCTCGAGGTGGGCCAAGAGGCAGTTCGAGAGGCGGCCCCTGGGGTACGCCAGCTCGTGCCAATGCCTCGGGCAAATGAGGTAGTGCGAGATGCTGTCCGTTGCGTGCTTCGCGTTGCACCCATAGATGCAAGGGCGCCGTTCCGGTTGAACGTGGAGACGGTACGACGCCGACCATGCGCCAGCCAGTGTCTTCATCGTGGGCCAGAAACGCGATGGGGGCACACGGGCGATCTTTGCTCGCGTGCGCCGCCAGTGGATCTTGACGCTGTTCGGGAGCTGGTACATGGCGGTCAGGTCATTGAACGAGATGGCGTCTGGATGCAGCTGCTCGTTGATCTCCTCCACGGCGGTGGTCTCGGACGGGTCGGAGACGACGTCGGCCATGTGTATCCATTGGCGGCGGAGGCGGTGTTCTTCAGCAGCAAGGTTGAACACCGCCTGCATGTCAGACGTGCGCGGAGTCCTCGCCATGTAGTTCGCCCTGCCACGGCGATTGGCGTCCGAGTCGTACCGGGCCTGTCGGCACATGTTGCGAGCGCGGCGGCGGAGGTCGTCTCCCGAGGAGGCGGCGAACAGGATTCGCATGCTCCATCGGCGAAGATGTCGGCGTACATGTTGTTCGCACCAGTCCATCCTGTCGCTGTCGCGGCGCAGCGTGTGGTCCCAGTTGGCGATGTACACGTCGGGGGGCCAGTCCGAGGCCCAATGAGCAAGCACTTCAGCGAGATCATGAAGCTCGCGAACGGCAGCAGCATGATTATCTTGGTTTTCAACAGGTGTATGGGGCAGGCGGGAGGGCAGTGGGCAGTGACGCCGGCTGATGAGGAAACGAGAGCGTGGAGTTCAGCATTGCGCGAGTTGCAGGACTGAGCACTTGATTTCCACCTCCAATTGTAAGATCTTGCTCGGCGGTGGCCATGGGGATGAACGGGAACCAGGCCTTCAGGCGCTTCACGGTGGTGATGTCGAAGTTGTCCTCGTGCAGGTGAGTCTGGAGGGCGGCAAGGTATTTCGATTGGGGTGATTCGCGTCGAAGTTCACCCGGCACAAAAGCAGGTGCGACATGCGGCGGCGGTGGTACCGCCGCCGCGGCAGCACGGCGGTGAGCAAGCAGTAGCTGCTGATGCGCGTGGTCTGCGTTCTTCATCCTTTTCAGTGCCATGAAGATGGAGCCCTTGCCCGTCGGGAAGGCGGTGCCTTCTTCGCAGCCTGGAGGTGCTGGGCGATCGAAATGGGCGAGGCCCAACATTCGGCAGACCAGTGGCCCCTCACCGTCGAGACCATGGGGAGGTTCGCCGTGGCGGTCTCGTTGAGCATGTCAAGCAGCGGGGGCCGAACCTTGATGGTAGAGGTAGCAGACCTCCACAGCGTCGCATTTATCAGCACCTCGACGCCCGTGGGGATGTTAGCACCAGCCCAGTTCTTCAGACCCAGGATGTCCAGCTTGGTGAAGGCCGAGGGCGGCGAGCGGATTATCTTGTGGAGCAGGTGAATCTCGCGACTGAGCGACAGGTCAGGAGCAGGGAAGAATTGGCTAACGTAGGAGAGCGTCGTCAGCGCAGAGGAGTTGTATAACGTGATGTTATGTTGAATCGGGGCGTGAGGTTCTCCGAGGATCTGGGCACGGTGTAGCCACTTGGCGGCAGGGGCAGCCCACTGAGCACGTTCGTCAGCTCCTGGACACATCACCACGCCGAGGTACTTGGCGGAGGAGCCGATCTTGAAGAGGGCCCAGTCGGCGTGGATGTGACCCAAAGTGTCCTTGAGGCTGTCGACCAGGTCGGAGGAGGCGATGGTCCAGACGGGTACCAAGACGCATTTGCGCGGTTGAAGATGCAAACTAGAATGTTGAGCAATCGCAAGCAAGTGAGGGCGTAACCCTTCGATGCCACGAGGACAGGCGAGAACACAGCCAAGATCATCAGCACATGCTGTGGCTATACCTCCTTGGATGCGCTTGAAGAAGTCGTTGATGCCGATCAGCGCGGGGTCGAAGATCAGGGCCCAGATGGTGCCAACGAGGGGGCAACCTTGAGCGGCCCCGCTGGATGCGAGAAAGATCGGTCGGCGCGTGCCTCCCATCTCGAGCAGCGCGATCGGCATGTGGTAGAACGCCTGCATCAGGGCAGGGAGGCGGCCGTAGATACCCCAGCGCTGCAAGATGCTCCACATCCGGGCGTGCACGAGGCCTGGGAAGGCGGCGGCGATGTCCGTGCTCAGGAAGCACGGCTGCAGCGCATGAGCATCAGGCTTGGTGCTCTACTTGCGGCTGTGCGCGTCGGCTTCGACGATGTTGTCCAGCAACTGGCGTCCAGGAGGAGAAGGGGGAGGAGGAGGAGAAGGAGGAGGAGGAGGAGGAAGAGGAGGAGGATGCTTCCTCGAGCCCCTCCTTGCCCGACACCCGCACGCATGCCGAGGCCGGCACGGACGCAGGGCGATCCTCGGTCGCAGGCGGTCGTCTCGCCTGGCGTGTCTGCGAGCTGTACGGCCTCCCCCTGGGCAGTGCAGGAAGCTATCGGGATGGAGGGAAGCTCCTTTGCATGCATACATGGCGTAGGCACGCGAAGGCGGCGCGAGCCGCCACTGGCTTTCACCACTCCAGCGGAGAGAAATCCGCCGACCCCTTGGGGATCATCGGCGTGTGAGATGCTTTCCCCCTCCCCAAACCCCTCCCCCGGGAGCCTGGTCCGGTCGATTTGGAGGGGGGGGGGGGGGTCGACCACGAGCGCGCCACGGGGCTCTTTCGGCCCCAAGAGGGGCTACAGACCGCCCAGGAATGCCCCAAGAGGCCTCCAAGACCGCCCACGAGCGCTTCGAGACGCCAAACGAGCGCTCGGAGACGCCCAAGGTGGGCCCAAGACGGCCCCAGAGGCCTCCAAGACGGCCCAAGAGGTCCCCAAGAGGCATCTTGGGAGCGGCCCAAGAAGCCAAAATCGTTGATTTTCCATTCGTTTTTGAAGGATTTGGGCCTTCTCGCCCTTTCGGCTTTCCGACGCTCCAAGACGGCCCAAGAAGCTCCCAAGACCGCCCCAAGACGGCCCAAGAGTCCCCCAAGACGGCCCCAAGACGGCCAGAGAGGGCCCAAAGACGGCCCAGGAGCCGCCCCAGACGGCCCAAAAGGCCCCCAAGACGGGCCCAAGAGGGGGTGAAGAGGGGGACCAGAAACCGAAAATCCGAATCTTCCGCCCCAAGAGGCCTCCAGGAAGCCCCAAGAGGCCCCCAAGAAGCCGCAAAGAAGCCCCAACAACCCCCGAGAGGCCCACGATAGACCCCAAGAGACCCCAGAACGGCCCCCAAGAGACTTCAAGAGTGCTCCGAGAAGGCCCCTGACAGACATACCAGGACACCTTCAAGAGGCTCCAAAGACGGCTCCAAGAGGGGGGACAATGTACATCAAGGGGTCGGCGGTGTGGCGTAAGCCCAAGAATCAAGGACCCTGAGGCGCAGAGGCAGAGGGCGATGTTACACAGAACTCGCATGTCCTCAAGGTGGGCAACCAGGCTACCCCACGGAAGCACCACCAAGATTTCCGCTGTTCGCTGTTCCTCCTCCTTCCCCTCCCCGTAGAGCCTCCTCGCCCCACGCCACAGGGAAGAGGATCGCTGGGGGCAACAACGAAGAGTCGAGGAGGAGAAGGGAGGGGCGAGGGTGAGGAACGGGCAGGCGAGGACGGGAAGAATACTAACGAGTAAGGCGGGGTAGCAGGAGAGGGGGGCAGGGGAGAAAACGCTGGCGGACGAAGGAAAGGCAGTGAAAGAGGGAGGGGTGGAGGAGGGAGGGATGGCTGGAGGAGGCTGTGGCAGAGGAGGACCGAGCAGGAGGGACGAGGAGGGGGGACGCGGAGGAGGAAGGAGTGAGGAGAAGGGAGGAGGAGGAGGAGGAGAGGGAGGAGGAGGAGGAGGAGGACGAGGAGGAGCAGGGGAGGCATGATGAAGCTGCTCGTTTTCAGTGCACTTCAGACCGCTGGGGCCGCGCCTGCGCGGCGGCGCGCGCGGGCTCGCGCGGCGACAGGAGCACCGGGGCCGAGCGGCGCGCCGCGGAGCGCGGCGGACCGGAGAGAAGGAGCGGGGGCAGGCCAGAGGGGAGGGGGACGCAGGGCAGGGAGGGGATGGAGGGAGGGAGGGAGGGAGGGAGGGAGGAGGGGAGGAGGAGTAGGGGGAGGAGGAGAGGAGGAGGAAGAGGAGGAGGAGGATAGGAGGAGGGAAGGAGGAGGAGGAGGAGGAGTGAGGAGGGATCAGGAGGAGAGAGAGGAGGAGGAGGAGCAGGAAGGAAAGGGGAGGAGGAGTAGGAGGAGGAGGGAGGAGGAGGATGAGGGGGAGGAGGAGGAGGAGGAGGGAGGATAGGTTGAGAGAGGAGGGAAGGAAGGAGGAGGAGGGATGTAGAGGAGGAGAGGAGGAGGAAAGAGCAGGAGGGAAAGGGAAGGAGGAGGAGGAGGAGGAGGGCACGAGAACGGCGCACATGCACCGCACCATGCCTGGACTCCAACGAGGCCGCGCTGCAGCGTGGTACGGCGCACGGTTGTGGGCCCCGAGGGCCGCAAGACCGCGCGCCGTACCGTTCCCGGGGACCGACGGCGCCTCGGGGGAGGCCAACGCGGCACGTTGCATGCAGGTCGTCCTCGGAGAAGGGGGCGGAAGGTTGAGAGCAGAGGAGGGGCGAAGAGGCAGACGAGGAGGAGCGGGGGAAGAGGACGGAGGAGGAGGGGGGAGGACCTCGAACGGGCAAGGTCGCAGCACGCGGCTCGAACTCGGGCGGTCTGTCGCGTGCCGCGCGGCCGCGGGAAGAGGAAGAGAAGGGGGGGAATGAAGGAAGGATGCAAAGAAGGAGACGGAGGAGGAGGAGGAGGAGGAGGAGGAGGAGGAGGAGGAGGAGGAGGAGGAGGAGGAGGAGGAGCAGAAACATCAAGAAGAGGTCGCTGGAGGTACCCAGAAGCTTCCAGAAGCAACAGCAAGAGCGTCAACACTTGAGGAATTAGGACGCCCGAGGCGGGCACGGAACAAATGGTACGACTCCGAACACCGGCTGCGGTCTGAATCCGACAGCGGCCGCTGTTGGGCAGGCTGGCTGTTCCGCCTCGAATGGACAGCGCCCGTGGCGACGCCAGCGAGCCCGGCTCCTGATTCATGGAGCGGAGCTGCTGCCGGTCTTCGTTCCCATCCGTTCCGTACCGACTTTGGTCGCACCGATGGAAGCGATGTGTGGGGGGGGGGGGAAGGCGAGGGGAAGCCTCTGGATCTCCTGCGAGGCCGCCCCGCTCTGCTCCCAGAGCGCCAGCACCTGGCGGGGCGCAACGGGCAGGCGCCCTCTGGCCGGAGCGGAGCGCCTCGGAAACCGGGCTTGAGGTTGGAGGCTCCGCCCGGGTCGCGAATCGGCACCGCAGCCGGTTTCCATGACGCCCCCCGGCTCCGGAGGCGGCCATACACACAAACACACACACACACACACACACACACACACACACACACACACACACACGCATGTAGATCCTCCTCCTCCTCCTCCTCCTCCTCCTCCTCCCCTCCGCTCCTCCTCCTCCTCCCTCCCGCCTCCCCCTCCTCCTCCTCCTCCTCCCTCCTCCCTCCTCCTCCTCCTCCTCCTCCTCCTCCTCCTCCTCCTCCTCCTCCTCCTCCTCCTCCTCCTCCTCCTCCTCCTCCTCCTCATGTGTGTATGTGTGTGCGAACGGGGCCCCATCCCGCATCGACTACGTGCTCGCCAGCCCTGCCGCTGTCGACGCCGTCCGGGCGGTCCGGCTCCGCTGGGACCTCGGGCTGGCCACGCACGCGGCCCTCGTGGTGGAGTTGCGCGTGCCGCGCCCCGAGCCGGCGCTGCTCCGCCAACGGGTGCCCGCCCTGGATGGCCCCGCGGTGGCGGACTGGTCAGCGCAGACGGCGCGCGACGCCACGGCCCTCGCGCGCACCCACCACGAGGAGGCTTTCCGGGCAGCGTTGCATAACCACGCTCTCGACGAGGCGTGGCGGCAGCTGGGGGCGGCCATGCGCATATGGCTCTCGGCGCGCCTGGGCAGCGCGGAACTCCCAGAGCGTCCGCACGCTGCGGCTGCCGTGCGGGCCGAACGGCCCCCAGCAGCGGGAGGTGGCGGGGAAGCCGCCGGTGCTGCGGCTGACGCTGCCTTGCTGCGCGTCCGACGCCTCAGGGGCTTGCAGCACGCGCAGCGGCGCACTACGAGCACCGCCAGACGGACGGCAGCTGCGACCTTGCGGGCGCTGCGGGCCGCCGACGCTGCCGACGCGGACTGGGCCCTGGTGCTGGCCGCACTGCAGCCGGACAGGGCCCTCCCGGCCGTGCTCCTAGAGCGCGCGGAGGCTGCGTGGCAGCTCGCGCGGGCTGCGGCGCGCGGGAGGCGGCAGACGGAATGGCGGCGCTGGGTCGACGACTCGCTCGCCAACGGCGGAGGCAGGCTATACCGCTGGATTCGCGGCGGCGGCAGCCTTGATGCCGAGCTCGTGCCTGCTGCCGGAGGCGCTGGGGCCGGCGCCTGCACCCCTGGCGGCCGGCAGTGGCTGCTAACCTTGCAGGGCGGCCCCGCGGCGCGGCTGCGCTACTACGAGGGCCCCTGGAAGGAGCTGTGGCAGCGAGCCTCGGGCCCGCCGGTCGCCGAGGAGTGGCTGCAGGAACTGGACGGGATGCCGGCATTCCCCGACCGCGTGCCTTGGACGGCCGAGTCGATGGGCTCGCTCCTGCGGCGCATGCCCAAGCGCAGGAAGCCGGGGCTCGACGCCTGGACGATCAACGAGCTCCGGCTGCTGCCGGTAGAGTTGCACTCGTGGATCGCGGACCTCTTCGAGGAGGTGGAGGCCCAGGGCGCTTGGCCCCGGGAGCTCGTCGAGCCCGAGGGCCTCCTGCTGCCGAAGCCTGGGGGTGGCGAGGGCCCCCTGGAGCGCAGGCCCATATGGTTGCTGCCAATCCTGCGCAGGTTGTGGGCTGCTGGCCGGGAGCGCCTCTTTGCCCAGTGGCGGTGCCAGACGAGTGGCGGCGTGGCGCAGAGGACCTTGCCTGGGAGCTCTCCTTGGAGCTGGAGGCGGCGGACGTCCTCTCTGAAGAGATGATGGGCGCAGCCCTGGATTGGCGCAAGGCATACGACCAGGTGGACCTATGCACGCTGCCTGCCGTGCTCGCCCGGGCTGGGGTGCCGCCTTGGGTTGCCGGGCCGGCGCTGGCGGCCTACGCGGCGAATCGCCGGGTGCGAGTGTGCAAGGCCATCGGCTCGGCGTGGTCGCCCAAGCGCGGCCTCCTGCCAGGCTGCCCCCTGGCGGTGTTCGTGCTCGGAGTCCTGACGCGGCCATGGATGGTGCGTACGGGCCGCGTGAGCGACCGCCTCCGCCGCAGGGTGTACGTCGACGACTTCACGCTCTGGACCTGGGTCGCCGCCGAGGCCGGCGGCGATGCGGCGGACGAGCTCCGGCAGGCGCTGCAGGTCACGGAGGCGTTCGAGGCGGCCATGGACTGGCAGCTGAACCGGACGAAGTCCCGCCAGGTCGCCGGTCGCGCGGTGTTTCGGCGGTGGCTGGCGGAGCAGACGCCCGGGATCTCCGCGAAAGTCGCGAGTGCGGAATTCCGCGACCTGGGCGTGGCCGCAACGGCTGGCAAGGCCCGGCGGTGCGCCGTCACCGCGGACCGGCTGCGCGTCGCGCGGGGCCGTTTCGGCAGGCTGGGCAAGCTGCCGGTAGGCTTTGACGCGCGCTGCCGACTGGGCGCTGCCGCGGGCACGGCTGCGGGCCTGTACGGGGCGGCATGCGGCCGGCCACCGGCGCGGGAGTTGGCCGGCCGCGCGGCGGCGCGGCAGGCGGTCTGCAGAGGTGGCATGCGGGCGGCCGCAGAGATCGTGTTCGGAGTGCTCGCGCCGTGCTGGCGCCTGGACCCGGCGGCGGTCACGGTCCTGGCGCCGCTCTGGCAGGCCGCCAAGGCGCTCCGATCTCGTCGCTTCCCCGTGCAGCTGTGGCGGGATGCGGCAGCAGCTCTCGGGGCAGGGCACGGGCGCGGGTTCGGGCCCATCTCCGCCGCGCTCCGGAGCCTGACGGAGCTGCACTTGGGCGCAGACGTCGAATGCTGGACCGGGGTCAGCGCCGCCCCCGCGGGCTGGCGCCCCGCCGACAGGAGTCTGCTTGACACCCGCGCCGTGCTGCTCGAATCGTGCTCCCGGCGCGAGGCGCGTTCGCTGGCAGAGAGGCGCCCGGCGTTCCAGCACGTCGCAAGCGGCATTGACAGGTGAGCCACGCGGCGGCTGCTCGTCAGCGGCGCGCTGGCGCCCGACGCTGCCGGGGCGCTCCGCGCCGTGCTTTCGGGGAACGTGGTGACCGAAACAGTGGCCGCGAAGTGGGGCCAGCCAGCGCTGTGCCCCCACTGCGGCGGCGCGCCCGAGGACCTGGAGCACCGACTGTGGCTGTGCCCGTGCTGGGAGGCCACCCGGGTCGCCGCTCTGGGGCCCGCGGGCGGGCACCTCGACGCGGTCCGCGCGAGGCTGCCGGCGGAGACCTCCCTTACCGGCGTGCTGCCCCAGGACCTGCGGCTGGCGGCGCTCGCGGAGCAGGCCCGGCTACCGCTGCCGCTGCCGCCTCTGCCAGACCCGCAGGCCGGCGGCAGGGCGCGCGCTTGGACGGACGGGGCCTGCGCGCGGCCGGGCGACCCGCTGCTGGCGCGAGCGGGCTGGGGTGTCCGGCTGGAAGCGGCGGGCGCGACGGGCTTCGTCGAGCGCGGCGGCCCCGTGGACGGCGCGCAGACAGCCCAGCGGGCGGAACTCACCGCGGCGGTGCACGCGCTGAGCCTGGCCAGGGGGCCGGTCGACATCGTCACCGATTCCCGGTTCGTCAGCCGCGGCGTGGCGGCCATCCGCGATGGGGCGAGCCCCGCGGAGCGGGCGCACGCGAATCTGTGGGAGCGCGTGGCCCCGCACTGCCGCAGCGGCGCCCTGCGCGCGCGGTGGGTCAAGGTGCACCTTGACGCCGCGGCGGCCCGCGAGCGAGGTCTCCCCCCAGAAGACCACGCCGGCAACGCGGCCGCGGACCGCCTCGCCGGCCAGGCGGCCGGGGCCCGCTTGCCGCCTCGGGCGCTGCTGCTGGAGCGCGCGCGGGGGCTGGACGCGCTCGCAGCCGTGCAGCGAGCGGGTCATGGCGGCAGTGGAATATTGGCCGTGCTGAAGGCCAACCACGGCGACGGCGCCCGCCGGCCCCGCGTGCGCCGGCGCTGGGCGGCCCCAGGGCGCAGGCGGCGCGCGCCCCGCGTGGGCGACGACGCGGCCGTGGCGGCCGCCGCGGCCACCCGAGCGCGGGCTCCGCAGCCCGCCTGGCGTCCGGCCACGCCGGCGGGTGCCGCCGCCGCCAGCGCCCTCTTCGCCGGCAGCGCGTGGCGGGCCCACGTGGCATCCCAGGGGCCCGCCTGGGTGGCCTGCCTCCGCTGTGGCTGCTGGGCGCCGACCTGGCAGCGGCTGGCGTGCAGGCCGTGCAGCGACTGGGCCCCGGCGCTGCCGCCGCGCGCCGCCGCTCTGCTGCTGGCGCCGCCGGCCCGGGCGGGCGGCGCGGAGGCCGCGTGGCGCGAGGCATTGCGGCTGCGGCTCGCGGCGCGCCCGGGCGCGCCGGACTAGCGCGGTCCTCTCCCCCCCACCTCCCCCTCCTCCTCTTCCCCTCTCTGCCACAGGGCGCCTCGCGGATGGTAAAAAAAGTGTGTATGTTTGTGTGCATAGGCGGGTATGTACCATGCGGAACTCGAGGAGGGCGCCCAGCGGCGGGGGCCGAAGCAAGCTGCGTGCTGTCGTCGTCCGCGTGGTCGCCGCCGTCGTCGAACTCAGCCCTCAACTCCTCCTCCTCCTCCTCCCCCTCCTCCTCCTCCTCCTCCTCCTCCTCCTCCTCCTCCTCCTCCTCCTCCTCCTCCTCCTCCTCAACCCTCAACTCCTCGTCCTCCTCCTCTTCCTCCTCCTCCTCCTCCTCCTCTTCCTCCTCCTCCTGCCCCTGCCCCTAGCCTTGTGCCCCTGGGCGGTGCATGGTCTACCCTCTTGCCTTCGTTGCTGGAGGGCCCAGCCTTGCGCTTGACGCGCCCATTCCCAATCTTCTCCCGATCCTCTCCCTCCTCCCTCCCGCCCTCCCTCCTCCCTCCCTCCTTCCTCCCTCCTCCCTCCCTTCCTCCGTTCTCCCTCCCTCCCTCCGTCTCCCCCCTCCCTCCCTCCCCCTCCCTCCGTCCCTCCCCTCCTCCTCCCTCCTTCCTCCTCCTCCTCCTCCTCCTCCTCCTCCTCCTCCTGCTCCTCCTCCTCCTCCTCCTCCTCCTTCCTCTCCTCCTCCTCCTCCATTCCTTTCCCTGATAAGCAGCTCCACCCTGTCGCACCCCGAGGCCTGCCGAAAAGGCGGGCGGGGCGTTTCGCCTAAGACCTTTGACAGTAGCTTCACAGTTGGAGGGCGGGCAGCTTTCAAAATGTGGCTCTCGCCGTAGCGCCGCGCACATTCGTTTCAAACAACTGCACAAGTTTTACGGCCTGAGGGCGGGCCGCTTCCAACATGTGACTCTTGCCTTGGCGCCGCGCACATTCGCCTTCACAATATTCAGAAAGTTCTCTGATTCAGGGCGGTTCCTTTTCAAGCTGTGGCTCTCGCCATCGCGCCGCGCACACTCGTTTTGCAAAATCACCAGGGTTTCAAGGACTCGCATGGCTAGCGTATCAGAAATAGTGTTTGAGAGCGATTCAGGACCGTCAGGGTGCAACAGTTACGTTCTTTCGCGGTGTTGAATTCCTGGAACGGCGTTCTGGCACGATTCAGAATCGGCAAGAAGCAACAGCCAAATTCAGTCGTGGCGCTGGAGTCCCGAGAATGGTGATTTGGCACGCTTCGGGATCTTCAAACGGTTCTCTCCCAACGGGGCACTTCCCCAAGTGGAAATGAATCCTTGTCGGGGCCTGTGGAAGGAAGCTTGAAGGGAGGGTATGTTCCGACATGGTTGACGAGTCTTGGGTTCACCCGTGTCCTCCTCCTCCTCCTCCAACGACGACGACGACGGCGACGGCGACGACCATCCCCCCTCCTCATCATCTTCCTCTTCTTCCTCCTCCTCCTCCTCCTCCTCCTCCTTCCTCCTCCTCCTCCTCCTCCTCCTCCTCCTCCTCCTCCGCCTCCTGGTTCTTTCTCCTCCTCCTCCGCCATCCTCCTCCGCCATCCTCCTCCGCCATCCTCCTCCTCCTCCTCCTCCTCCTCCTCCTCCTCCAAGCCGACGCGGACCCCCTCCCCCTCCCTTCTCCTCCCGCCGCCCTCTCCTCCCCTCCTCCTCGAGCCCGGCGCCCCCCCCCCCCCTCCCTGCGCGCCTGCTCCCGGGCAGCCTCCGCGGCCCGCCGCTCCCCCGCGCGGGCGCCGGGGTCCTCCGGCGGCGGGGGCCGGAGCCCGAGGGTGCTGCAGTGCTGGTGGAAGGCGCTCTGGTAGTCCTGGCCCCCCCCCCCCCTCTGCCCCCCGCACGCTCCGCGTCCTCCTCCCTCCATCCCCTCCTTCCTCCCTGCATCCCCTTCCATCCCTCCCTCCCGTCCCTCTTCCGCTCCCTCCCTCCCTCCCTCCCTCCCTCTCCTCCTGCCGCTGCTGCTGCTCCTCCTTCTCCTCCTCCTCCTCCGCCTCCGCCTCCTCTTCCCTTCCTCCCCTCCTGAACCTCCTCCTCCTCCTCCTCCTCCGCTTCCTCATCTTCCTCCTCGTCCTCCTGCTCCTCCTGCTCCTCCTGCTCCTCCTGCTCCTCCTCCTCCTCCTCCTCCTCCTCCTCCTCCTCCTCCTCCTCCTCCCCGTCAGCCTCCTCCTCCTCCCGCAATATCCCTCCCCATCATCCCTCCATCCATCCCTCTTCCAGCCCGTCCCCCGCAAACTCCCGCCCACCCGACGATTGTACATTATGAATGCTACTCGCCGCTATTTCCTGACTCTGTCTGGAAGATGCTCCGCCCTCTCCGCGTGCTTTTGTTACACACAGGATCGCTGTTATACTCATGGGTTCTACCATCCGACTGCTGTCAGCGTTTCAAAAAAAAGGTGTTCCTGCTGCGGCGTGGGCCTCATGTCCGGATCGACGCTTTGATTCCGTCGTTCAGCATTGCGATCTCACCATGCCGCGGGCCATAGTTCTGTGTGCGAATTGTTTATGCTGCTCCGCTCGGGGCGACACGCTCTTATACCCCAGAGCCTTACCTTGCCTTGGGGCATCAGAGCTGATATGGCTGCTGACGCCTGATCCTCCTCGGAATGATCCTCCTCTGGGCCATGATGCCGGTCATGTTTTCGCAGTTGCTGCTGCCTCCGCTGCTGCTGGTCTTCGCGAAGTCCTGCGCATCCGGCGGACCAGGCAGAGCCAGCCAAACTCGCTGGACCTGCCACATCGGCAGACTAGCCAGACCAGGTACAGAAGCCAATCGACCAACCAACCAAGACCAACCAAGCAACCGGACCAAACCAAGCAGACCAGAACAGGCAAAGCAGATGAAGTACTCGACCAGCCTGAGCGGACCAGAGCAAGGCCAGCCACGCGAACCGAACAAACCAGTCCAACCGAGCAAACCAGACCAGAAGAAGCACCTGCGCGACCACACCGACGAGACCAACAAACCGAGATCGGATCCAAGAGCCCTCCCGACTGGACCAAGGAGCAACCACATGAGACCAAGCAGACCAACCAACCATACCAACCCGATATGCGAACAGCCAGCGCACACGGACCATGCCGACCAGATCAGTCAGACGAGCTGTACCAGCAAAGGAATTCTGACCAGACAAACCGCACCCGTCGGACGTACCAGACCAGACCGACCAGACCAAGATGAACTGCTCAACCAACCAGACCAGGCCAGACCACCAGCCAATTCAGATCAATCCCCCCAAGCCCAGCCAGACGAATTCGACGAACCAAGCCAACCAAACCAGACCGACAGTGACGCGCAGTCCGACCAGGCCAACCAAACCAATCGGACCAATCCAACCAGACCAACCAGACCAACCAGACCAATCAGATGAACGCTCCCACGACTTTTTATCAGCAGGCGAACAAAGTTCAACAAGTCAGGCCAGCGAAGCCGACAAAACGCGAGGACACAGCACGAGCGAAAATCCAAAACACTTTAGTCAAGATGGCCAGCAAGATCAGCAAGTCAAACTGGCGAAGCAGACCAACCAGGCCAGCCAGACCAGCAAGCCATCGGCACAACATCGAAGCAGACCAACCAGACCAGCCAGACCAACACCTGGCAGCGACACCGCGGCGCTCCGAAGCAGACCAAAACTACATGGCAATCACAAATCTCACATGCACAAAAACAACAATGCACCGAACGAACAACACACTCTTTTGCTGTCGTCGTGGCTGGCGCCGCGCGCTTCGCCCCACCCTCAACCTCCCCGAGCCGCGGCCGGCACGCACGCGAGACCGGCGAAGCTCGTGCCCCCGCAGAGGAGCGGCGGCACCCGCCAGCAGACCCCAGCCGCACGGCAGCACACATCGATGCAGACAGTAGCTGCACCGCAAGCCAACTGCAACGACTGGCGCAAAGGAGCTGGCGTGCCGTCGTCGGGGTGTGGCGCTGCGCGCGCCGCGCCTCCCGGGACCTCCTCGGGCCGTGCTCGGCCCGCGCGCGGGAGCGCCCTGCGGCCCCTCGGCTCGAGCCCTCGCCTCTGGCAGCGGCACGGCGGCACTCCGAAGCAGACCCAGGGCGCAGGCCTCCTCCTCTCTCCTCCTCCTCCTCCTCCTCCTCCTCCTCCTCCTCCTCCTCCCTCCTCCTGCTTCTCCTCCTCCTCCTCCTTCCTCCTCCTCTCTCTCCTCTTCTTCTCTCCTCCTCCTCCTCCTCCTCCTCCTCCTCTCTCCTTTCCTCTTCTCTTCTTCTTCCTCCCTCCCCTCTCCCCTCCTTCTCCTCCTCCTCCCCCTCCCCCTCCTCCTCCTCCTCCTCCTCCTCCTCCTCCTCCTCCTCCTCCTCCTCCTCCTCCTCCTCCTCCTCCTCCTCCGATACGGCAAACACCCGAAGCACTACGGAGAACTGCTGTGCTGCGGGCGCAGCGGGTTGGCGCGGCGCGCGTCGCGCCCACCTGGCCTCTGGCAGCGACACGGCGGCACTCTGAAGCAGACCCAGGGCGCAGGCGCAGGCAGCACTGCGATGCGGCAAACGTGGGCATCGCACTACGGTTAAGTCGGGCGTGTCCCTCTACATGGGGATTTTCGACGAAACATAAAAACAGACTCCAAAGATACTCCAGACTGGTCAAACAATACTCAAACAAATATCCCCAGACAATAGTTTGACTAATTTGGGGTATTCCCCCTGTAGAGGGACAGGCCCGACTTAACACTACGGAGGACTGCCGTGCTGCGGTCGCAACAGGTTGGCGCTGCGCGCTTCGCGCCGCCCTGGACCCCCTCAAACGACGTTCGGCTCGCAACTCGAACCGTACTCCTCCTCTTCCTCCTCCTCCTCCTCCCCTCTTCCTCCTCCTCCTCCTCCTCCTCCTCCCCCCCCTCCTCCTCCTCCTCCTCCTCCTCTTGTTCCTCCTCCTCCTCCTCCTCCTCCTTTTCCTCCTCCTCCTCCTCCTCCTCCTCCTCCTCCTTCCTCCTCCTCCTCCTCCTCCTCCTCCTCCTCCTCCTCCTCCTCCTCCTCCTCCTCCTCCTCCTCCTCCTCCTCCCCTCCCCCTCCTCCTAAGCTCCAGCTGCGAAACAGCGGCACTCCGAAGACCAAACGCAAGACAGAAGCTTCGAAACCATTCGGTCGAAGCTTTGCGTCCCGCCGTGCGCGTCGGCTAAGAATGTCGTCGTCGGCGCTCCTCTCATCTCCCCTCCGCCTTCTCCTGGTTATCCTGCCCCTCCCGCTCCTTCCAATTCAGTTCCTGCTGCTGCTGTTTGTCCTCGTCCTCCTACTTCCTCATCCTCTTTGTTCCCTCCTGCGCCCCCTCCTCCTCCTCCTCCTCCTCCTCCTCCTCCTCCTCCTCCTCCTCCTCCTCTTCCATCCGTTTCTCGTATAAATAACTCCTCACTGTCGCGCCCAAGGACGTGTCAGTAGGGCTGGCTGGGCGTTCCGCCTGAGACTTCCTCACCCGTGCTGACCCTTAAATTTAGATTTCCAACCGTTTCACGGCTGGTGGGCGGGTCGTTCTCAAACTGTGGCTCTCGCCTGAGCGCCGCGCAAATTCGCTTCAGAAGTTCATTCAGGAGCTCAACGGATGGAGGGCGGGTCGTTTTCGACATGTGCATCTCGCCCTGGCGCCGCGCACATCCGTGCTAAAAAATCAAAGAGCTTCACGGAAGGAGGGCGAGTCGTTTTCAAGAAGTGGTTCTCGCAATAGTCCCGCGCACATTCCCATTAAGAGTTTACAGCAGTTCCAGAGAATATGATGGTTGACGTCCCAGGAACGAAGTTTGACAGCGATGTCTGATTGTCAGGGCTCGACAGTCACGCCGATTCACGATATGAAGTCCCAGGGACGGTCTTCTGGCCCAATTCAGGATGGTCAGGACGCACAAATGATGTTGATTCGCGGCGTTGACGGTTGTCTTCCAACGGGGCTTCCCTCAGTGAAGATTAACTCGTGTAGGGGCCTGTGAAGAAAGAACTTGGAGGAAGGGGTTCTTGCAAGATCGTTGATGAGTCTTGGGCTTGCACTGGTCCTCTTCTTCGTCCTCCTCTGAAGACGGCACCCATTTTCCGAAGGTGCATAATATGACAAGGACCTGTTCGGAGTTCCAGGTCGGCCATTTCACTCGTTCGCGGAGAGAAGCAAGTCAACGCCACAGGAAGGGATGTGATGGAAGGATCGAATGTCAGATGTGGCGCGAACGCACCTGGTTTGTCACCCTCCGCTCCCTTACAGTCAGGGCGTTGACCTAAGGAACCCTAAATAAGGAACGAGGCCCCTTTTTTTCCATGGGTTAAACTTCGTTTTCCCGTCGAAAACATAAGGAAAAACTGAGGCAAGCTGTGAAACACTTAAGGAACACGAAGCCCCTCCCCAACGAAAAGGGTTCCTTCTTCAGCGCCCCGACTGTACTCTCCCTCCTCTCCCTTTCTCTTCCTCATCTCCTTCTCCTCTCTCGCTCGCTCACCTCCCGCGGCGGGCGCTGGCGGCGGGCACAAAGCCGGCCACGCCTCCTTCCTCGCGCTCGACCGAGTGTTCCCTGGTAGCGCTGCCAAGGGCCGTGGCTGGCGCAACCCCCTGCTCCCCCCCCCCCAGAGCGACCGATGTTCGAGCCCGTGCCCAGCAGCGGTTGCTCCCGGAGGTCGGTGCTGTGCAATGGGGGTTCGCGCCGGCTTCGAACCGAGCTTCGCGTGGACGAATTCCCTCTCCCTCATCACGGTTCTCCCTTCCGCCTCTCTCCATCCTCCATCCCTTGAACGAAGGATTGCAACAAAAAAAAACGGACTGCCCCCCCCAAAAAAAGGATTTCAAAAAAAACGGAGGATTGCAAAACAACCCAGGAATGCAAAAAAACGAAGGATTGCAACAAAAACGGACTGCAAAAAAACTGTTTTGTTTTGCAATCCTGTTTTTTTGCAATCCTTCTTTTCGCAATCGGTTTTTTTGCAATCCATCCCTCCTTCTCCTCCAGACTCTTCTCATCTCTTCCTCCCTCCTACCGTACCCCGTCCGCATCGATGGTGCGCACAGAGCGGAGCGGAAGCAGAACCCTGCGATCAGTGTCGTCACTCGCTGCTGCCGCTCATTGGGTACCGATGGTGACCACGAAAAAACACATCCCCAATCCCAAAATCACGGATTCGCCGAGGATTCGAAGATCGGCCAAAGATTTCGGGGTATGTTTTGCGTTCGTCGTCGTCACCCTGGTAAAACCCTACCCCAAAACCTCCCCCCCCGAAGTCTCGAGGTGTCTGCGTTTTGTTTTGGCCCCCGCGTTTTTGGGATTGGGCGTCTGTTTTGAGCTAGTGAGATGGCGTGCGAGTGAAGACGGACGCCGTGCCCATTCCGGAGGGCGCGAAATCCCACATTGCCCGAGGGTGAGGTGGACAGGTTTTCGAACAGTCAACTGCACAATGGATCACATCTTCCCCCACCCGATCGCACCGTCCCCGCTGATCGTGCCTCTTCGGTGGCCTCCAGAAAAAGCAGAAGCACATTCAAACACCGTCGACCCTGCTTGGATTCCTCCCCCCTTCACGAAATCAAGAATTCACCGTCTCCAGCTTTTGGTCGGGAACGTCCCCCTAGTTAAACGAGGAATTTGGACGACAAATAAAACACCCCCCCACAAATATTCAACAGTAGTTCAAACATGCTGAAAAAATAGCCCTAGAAGATACATAATATACATATGTATATTTAATGTGTATATATATGTCTATATGTATACATATATATATATATATATATAGTGTCAATGTCTATATATATATATATATATATATGTCGCTCGTACATGGTATATATCTATATATATTGCCATAAATGGAATTCTCCTCCTGTAGAGAGACAGGCCCGACTTAACTCCAGCTCCCTCCTGGGGCCCACCGTGGGCAGTAGTCTTCCGAGCCCTGTCCCGGCCGTCGGCAGCGAGGGCCCCCCCGGGGGCCACCCAGGCAGACGTCGAGGGCATCGTCCCTCCTCGGGCTCCCCCTCCAGGTCCCTCCCCCCCTCCTCCTCCCCCCCCTCCTCCTCCCCCCCTGCTCCTCCCCCCCCCTCTCCTCCCCCCCCCCCCTCCCCCCACCCCTCCTCCTCCCCCCCCCACGCCCCTCCAGCCGCCACCGGCACATCGCCAGCTGCAGCTTCTGCATGTCGGCAGCGCTCTGCACCCGCTCCTGCAGAGCTCCCAGGTGCGGTGCCCGGTAAATGTTTCAAGGAGTGTTTGGGGGTCTGGAGAGATGGAGGAGAATCCAGGAGAAAGAGCGGGGACATGCGGAGGAGGAAGAGAGGGGGGAGGGACATGTTAGGTGCGCTCGCGCCGTATATGGTATGCTACCCCATTTTCTCGTCTCTTCCCATTGCGCTGGTTTATTATCTATCTGCCGACACGTGTCATAGCTGACCTGGAATTCCAAAAAGGACCCCATCGTTTTATGCGCAATCGGAAACACAGGGTGCCGCGGACATCGGAGGAGGAGATGGCGGATCAGCAGGATATTGAGCAGGAAGAGAAGGAAGATACCGAGGAAGGAGGAGGACAAGGACGAACAGCAGTAGCAGCGGGAGCTGGAGGGCAAGTGGCAGGAGGAGCAGGAGGACCAGGGGAAGGCAGAGGGAAACGAGGGGGGCGGCAACAATGAAAGAGGACGGTCTTGCTGCTGGGGCTGCGGGGCGCCCAGCGGGGCCGCCGCACGGGCGGCCAGCCCGGCCCCCCCAGGGCGCAGCAAGCCTGCCAGACCCCCGCGAGCCAGGGCGGCGCGAGCCAGAGGGGCTACGGGAGCGTGTGGGCACACTTGAGCTCACAACATCCCTGGCAGCAGAACTGGCAGTGCGATGCCCCGCGCCCGCGAGGGACGCTGGCCACGCGATGTGCGCCGGGAGCGACTGGATGTGCTTGGAGTGGTTCGGCAGCGACGCTGGCTAGGCAGTGTGCGCCGGCCGCGGGCGGTTACGCGCGGAGAATCGGAGCGAGCGTCGTGGCAACACCACCGGAGTGAGCCTCTTGGTTCCAACTCTCGCAACGCGACGCCCGGTGTCCGCGAGCGGGCTTGGAGTGAGCGAAGTACTACGGTCAAGAATGCCGAGAGCGCGATGTGCGCGCAACGTTGGCGACGCAATGTGCGCCAGGGGCGAGCGAGTACACACGCGAGGCTGACGGGAGGCACACGCACTCGACAGGGATCCGAGTGGGACGCTAATATCAGGGCGCCAGGTAAGGGAGCTACTATCTGGCGCGCATTGAAGCACGCAGTGGCATAGCGCCTCAGGAGGCGAAAATGAACGAGTAAGTCAGGAAGGCGATAGGTGGGGAATCCGGCTGGCGAGAGGGGTGCCCCCCCCGCTCCCGCGCCTGGTAGGCCTGGAGCAGCACTTGCTCGAGCTCGGCATCGAAACTCTCGTACTCGTCCTCTCGGGCGGGGCCAGTCCACGACTACGGCCCAGCGGCCCGGCACGGGGATTACATAACATCCCACAAGGATTCGCATCACGATCGGGTGAACTTCGTAGAGATCGCTGGTCGGTCCTAGCTCTCGCGGTGGGGCCTAAGTCATTCCTATCCCTCGCACAAGGGCTCCATCAGTCTACGATCGGGAACTTTTGGACAGCGTGTCGCCACGGCGGCCCTGGCGACACAGTATACCTTGCGAGTGGGTCGCGTGTCGCTTCGCTTCGCCAGGTGGGAGGCAGGAGAAAGCTCGGCACGTAGACGCCTGGGCACCGCGAAACGGATAGCGTGTCGCACCGAAGCGTGGTGGGCCAGAACCGGCGGAACGGCGCACGACCCAGAAGTTCTCGACTGGAGGTCCCTAGACGTGCATACCCTCGCTCCGTAATTTCGCCAATCTGGGCGGAGCTGCACCCTTCTTCGGTGACTGCCCCATCCCCCCCCCGCAAGATGAGGCAGGCAGGTGGCCGACAAGGAGTCCAGGAGAGTGGTCGGAGGGGGCCACCTGGAGTGACTGATGGGGGCCCAGGCCGCCCAAGATCCTCCAAGTCATCATCATCACCACCATCTTCCTCCCCCGCCTGACACCCCAGGAGGCCCAGGAAGCCCCTCGGAAGCCCTGGCATGCTCCGAGAAGACCCCTTTCCTTGCAGGGCACTCTGGGGATTTCGCTTGGCTTCCCCGCTACGTATGGTCCCGAAGCCAACATATGTTCAACGGCTACGTGGATGAAAAGCAGATCGCGTTCGAAATGGGGCTCACGCAGTACAACTCCTGAAAGTCTTCGAGAAGCGAATCCCACCAGCCCCCTGGGCGGCAGGTGACCTCGGAGTGTCGCAACAGCTCCTCTCTGCAATGCTTGCACTGACTGGGGGAAGGGTTTGCTTTGCCAGTCCCCCTGCCCCATGTCGCGATACTTTCGACCGACTTGGAATCGACCCTGAGCCATGTGGGTCGTCTTGGAAGCCAGATTTGCTGTATCGGAGGCCGTCTCGGGCCGTTTTGACGGTATTGGAAATCACCTAGGACGTTATGGGAAGAAAGGCGGGACCGCTGACACGCAGGCCCCGTCGCCATTGGGGGACTCGAGGGGCTGACCCATTCGATCGAGAGAAGCCTACTCAAGGCCCAAACTTTGGCCTTCAACTTCACGCTCTGTCTTGAAAGCCGAGGACGCCGATACGCAACGCACAACACCTGGTTTTCCGTTGTGGTCTCCACGCGAGCCTCCCGAAGCGCGAGGCTTTCCAGCACCACCTGCTTGTTTCACTAAAGCTGTCCCCAAAGCGATCCAAGGGGCCCGTAAGACGCTTGCGAAAGGCCCCCAAGACGGCCCAAGAGGCCCTCGAGAGGCTCCGAAGACGCCCCTCAAGGGCTCCCACGAGGCCAGCAAGAGGATTCGCGCAAGAGGCCCAGGCGTTAGGGGGGAGTCTTTGACATGAGCGCCCTCTGAGCGAAGCGCGTGCCACATCCCACAACGAGCCGAGCCTCGTCTCACATGCCTCTCCGACTCTCTCCTCTATCTCTCCGTCTTCCCCCGTGTTCCCCCTCCTCCAGATCCCCCTCTCAGTTCTCTACACCGGGGAATGCTGATTAAGAAACGAATCGGTTGTTCTTGCCACGGCGAGCCTTGGCCGAAAAATGAACTCCCCGCCCTGGTCCTGCGGAACGGCCCACAAGCATGGCCCCTCCTGGACACACAGCTTGCTTTTTTTCAGCGCATTGACTCGACCCTCCTCCTCATCTACCTCCTCCTCCGCCTCCTCCTCCTCCTCCTCCTCCTCCGCCTCCTCCTCCTCCTCCTCCTCCTCCTCCTCCTCCTCCTCCTCCTCCCTCCTTCAAATTATGTCGGTCTCCTACTACAACTCCTGCTCCACCTCCTCAGAATCCTTTCATCCTTCCTCCTCCTCCAGTGTCGACCGCACACACACACACAGCAAGCCGAATAATCCGAGCGGCCGACCCTACCACCTACTAAAAAGCACGGAAGAGAAGAGGGAAAGGAAGAGAGAGAGAGAGAGAGAGAAGACGACAGAACTCCTCCTCCTCCTCCTCCTCCGTCCCGCCCTCCCTCGCTCCATCCTCCTCATACCTCGCCCTTATGCGGCGTCGACCGCCGCCACCACCACGGCGACGACAACGACGGCGGCGACAACGGCCGACGACGACAGACCACGACGACGATAAGCGCGACGAGGGCAACGACGACCACCGCCACCACGACCGCAACAGGCACCACGACCACCAGCCACGACGAGCACGACGGCGGCCGCCGACGCCGGCGGCGGCGACGCCGAAGGCCGGCCTCGCACTCCGCGACGGCGGCGGCGACCTCCGAGCCGAAGCGGGCGGTGACCTCATCGTAGATCTGGGCCATGCGCGCCTTCGAGGGGGAGGTGGGAGGGAGGCCTCCCTCGGAGTCTCGCTTCACCGATCTCCCCGTCCCCAGCGGCGTGGCCCGGGCCCCGCCGGCCGATGTGTCCCCCCCCCCCCCAGGTTGGGATGCAGGTCGTGCCCTCGGGCTTCGAGGGGCGCACCCCCCACTGGGGTGCTCATTCTGTGGAGGGTCTCGAAGGGGAGGGGGAGGGGGATAGGGACCCGTTAAACGACGCCGACCCTCATCGTCACGGTTCCCCCCGCCTGCTGGCCTTCGGGACCCCCTTCGCCGCCGCGGCCGGGCGCAGCTCGAACAAGCTGCCCAGGGTGGGCTCTGTCCTCCTCCTCCTCCTCCTCCTCCTCCTCCTCCTCCTCCTCCTCCCTCCTCCTCCTCCTCCTCCTCCTCATCCCCCTCCTCCTCCTCCTCCTCCTCCTCCTCCTCCTCTCCTCCTCCTCCCTCCTCCTCCTCCTCCTCCTCCTCCCCCCCCCTCTCTCCTCCTCCTCCTCCTCCTCCTCCTCCTCCTCCTCCTCCTCCTCCTCCTCCTCCTCCTCCTCCTCCTCCTAAGTCTGGAGAGCGGCCCTGGGCCGAACGTGTGATCCTGTGGAGCGCGGAAGGAGGAGAAAGCAATCGCGGAGGCTCGGGGTCTGGCAGCCCCGACTGGCCCCGATGCTGGGCCTCTCGGCCCGTGGAGGGAGGCCACTCCGAGGGCCTCGGGAGGCCCCTCCAGGGCCTCGGGGGCCTCCAGGGACCTCCAGTGGATCTGGGCCGCGCACCTCTTCGGCGCCGCCGTCGTCGTCGTCGCCGCCGCCGCCGCCGCCGTCGTCGTCGTCGTCGTCGTCGTCGTCGTCGTCGTCTTCGTCGTCGTCGTAGTTGTCGTTGTCGTCTTCACTCGTCGGTCGTTGGAGGAAGATGGCGAAGAGAAGGAGGAGGAGGGGGAAGAAGAGAAGTGCGGAGGAGGAGGAGGAGGAGGGCAGAGGAGGAGGGCAGGAATAGGGGAGGAGGGGGAAATTATCCTTCTCCTCCTCCCCTTCGCTTCCTCCTCCTCCTCCTCCTCCTCCTCCTCCTCCTCCTCCTCTTCCTCCTCCTCCTCCCTCTCTTTTTCCCTCCTCGCGCCCCTCCTCCCACGACGACGGGCAGGAGGCGGAAACGGGGGGGGGAGCAGACGGAGGAGGGGGAGAAGAAGAAGGGACCAAATAAGGATATTCATTATGCATCCATCCCCTTCCTCCTCCCCCCATACAGCCCTGCGTTCGTCGTCTTGCGTTTCTTCTCATTATTCATGCTTGCAGTCTTAATCGTATGATCATGTTCAGTCTTAGTAGTAGGAGGGTTGTTCGTTTTCGTCGTCTCATTATTATTCTTATGTCCTCCTTCCTCTTTTCCACCCTCCTCCACCCACTCACCCTCTCCCTCCTTGCCCCTGCCTGCTCGTCCTCGTCATACCTCGTCCTTGTCCTCCTCCTCCTCCTCCTCCTCCTCGTCCACCCCGTGATCCTCCTCCGCCTCCTCCACTGCATGTTTCTCCTCTTGTCTATCACATCCTCCCCCCCCTTCTCCATCCTCTCCTCCTCCTTCTCCTCCTCCTCCTGCTCTTGTTCCTCGTCCTCCTTCTCCTTCTCCTCCCATTCCTCTTCTTCCTCCTCCTTATCATCATCCTCCACTTCCTGCTCCTGCCGCGGCTGCTGGAAATCCTCCTCCTCCTCCTCATCGTCCTCTTCCTTCTTCTCCACTTTCTCTCCTCGTACTGTTCCTCCCCCTCCTCCTTCTGCTCCTCCACCTCTTTCTCTTCCTCCTCCTCCTCATCCCCCTCCTCATCCTCATCCCCCTCCTCCTCCTCCTCTTCCTCCTCCTCTCCTCCTCTCTTCCGCCTGCTCCTCCTCACCCTCCTCCCTAACTCCCTCCCTCCCTCCCTCCCGCCCTCCCTGCCTCCCTCCTCCTTTTCCTCCTCCTCCTCCTCCCTTCCTCCTCCTCCTCCTCCTCCTCCTCCTCCTCCTCCTCCTCCTCCCTCCTTCCCTCCCTCCCTCCCTCCCTTCCCTCGTCCTCCACCGCCATCCTTCTCCGAAAGCGGCACCGACGATGCCGACGGCAACGGAGACGCCGACTAGGGCCGACGATGCAGCCGCCAGCGACGATGGCGGCGGTGGATCTGGGACCGCGCGCACCTTCGAGGCGTTGGCCAACTCTACAAGCTGCCGCTGTGGCCCCGCGTCCTGGAGAGGCACCGCCGACGGGGAGGAGGGACGGCACAGCAGGCGCAGACAGAGTTTGGTACCGGAAACCTGGAGGCCCACTGGCCGTCGGCCCTTGGCATACGTGAGATGTTGACATTCGTGAAGTGTCTGCGGCTCAGATTGGTCCCGAGTGCCCTCTCAGGATAAGACCCCTATGTGAGGAGCACCGCCTGGCAGGCTGGCTCCGTTACGCCCTAGATCTGCGAGCGGCCCAGATGCTGGAACGCCCCAGAACCAGCAGGGGGGGCGGGGGCAGCAGCATCAGGACGACGACGACGACGACGACGACCACGCGGTCCTCCTCCAGAAACACGAGGGGGGCCAGCTCCCGGAGCCTCGCCTCCTAGAGCGAAGGGGGAGGCACGGACGCCACATAGATACAGATACGCACAGCCCTACTCTGCCTCCTCCCCGTCGTCGCCACGGCTGCCGCCGCTATCGTTATCGTCTCCGAGAGGGGGGAGGGCCGAGAGGGGGGAGAGGACGAAAAAGCAGAATGAGGAGGCGACGCAGGGGTTTTCTTCCTCCTCCTTTTTTGCGTTGAGCGGATTCTAGGTTTACGCCTGTAGCGCTCGTGTGCGGCAACCAGTCAAAACACCAGAGTGCAGACTAAGCGGAGCAGTACTTGCGAAGAGGCGCATCAGTCCTACATCCCCCGATTCCTCCCATGGGAAGCCCTCAGCGAGGGCCGTGGGTGCCCTCCCTGAGGGCAGCTAGTAAGCAACCGGAAAGCTGGCACATCTTACTGGACATGTGTCTAGCCTGATGCCAAGTAGCTAACCCTGTGCCCCAGAGAATCATCACCCCAGGATAATAAAGCTCGGGGGTCTGGCGGTAATAATGTACGATTGTCCTGGGGAAGGTGATGTTAGGTATAGGTTGTGCTGATGAGACGCTGATGATGGTGGTGATCATGGGCACTCGCGTAGACTGACCTTGCCATCGTAGTTGTAGCTGTAGTAGTCGTAGTAGTAGTAGTAGTAGTAGTAGTAGTAGTAGTAGTAGTAGTAGTAGTAGTAGTAGTAGTAGTAGTAGTAGTAGTAGTAGTATATTAGTAGTAGTAGTAGTAGTAGTAGTAGTAGTAGTAGTAGTAGTAGTAGTCTAGTCGTAGTCGTAGTCGTAGTCGTGCGTAGTCTAATAGTAGTAAGTACGTAAGTAGTAGTAAGTAGGAGTAGTATAGTAGTAGAGTAGTAGTCGTAGTAGTGGTAGTAGAAGTAGTAGTTGTAGTAGTAGAAGTAGTAGTCGTAGCAGTAGTAGCAGCAGCAAGTAGTAGTAGTAGTAGTAGTAGTAGTAGTAGTAGTAGTAGTAGTAGTAGTAGTAGTAGTAGTAGTAGTAGTAGTAGTGGTAGTAGTAGTAGTAGTAGTAGTAGTAGTAGTAGTCGTAGCAGTAAGTAGTAGTAGTAGTAGTAGTAGTAGTAGTAGTAGTAGTAGTAGTAGTAGTAGTAATAGTAGCAGTAGTCGTAGTCGTAGGAGTAGTCGTAGTAAAGTAGTAGTAGTGGTAATAGTAGTAGTAATAGTAGTAGTAGCAGTAGCAGTAGTAGTAGTAGTAGTAGTAGTAGTAGTAGTAGTAGTAGTAGTAGTGGTAGTAGTGGTAGTAGTAGTAGTAGTAGTAGTAGTAGTAGCAGCAGTAGTAGTAGTAGTAGTAGTAGTAGTAGTAGTAGTAGTAGTAGTAGTATAGTCGTAGTCGTAGTCGTAGTCGTAGTCGTAGTCGTAGTCGTAGTCGTAGTCGTAGTCGTAGTAGTAGTAGTAGGTGACTATACAAGTTAGCTGAAAACCATAGTATAGTCAAAAGTAAGTATAGTAAGTATAGTAGTAGTAGTAGTAGTCGAATAGTCGAATAGTGTGTTAGTAGTAAGACGTAGTATAGTAGTATAGTAAATAGTAGGTATAAAGTATAGTAGTATAGTAGTATAATAGTGTAAAGTATATAAGTAGTAGTAGTAGTAGTAGTAGTAGTAAGTAGTGAGTGTAGTATACATAGTAGTAAAAGTAGTAAAATAGTAGTAGTGTAGTAGATAGTAATAGGTACAGTAGTAAAAGCAGTAGTAGTAGTAGTAGTAGTAGTAGTAGTAGTAGTAGTAGTAGTAGTAGTAGTAGTAGTAGTAGTAGTAGTAGTAATAGTAGTAGTATAAGTAGTAGTAGTAGTAGTAGTAGTAGTAGTAGTAGTAGTAGTAGTAGTAGTAGTAGTAGTAGTAGTAGTAGTAGTAGTAGTGGTAGTAGTAGTAGTAGTAGTAGTGGCCAACGAGAGTGGCCCAGGCTGGACCGAGGAGGCGAGGATGCAAGGGTACCCTTGGGAACGCTGCCCGTCCTCACTATGCGGGCTGACTGCACGCTGGCCGAGGCGAGCGTGGAGGCGACCGAGGCTGCCGCCGCGCGGAGCAGGGCGACAGCGGCGCCCGCCGCCGCTGGAGCGCGGCGCCCGGCTCCCGCGGGAGAGGCCGCCGCCCGCGCCACCCCCCCGGCGAGGGAGGCGCTGCCGCCGCCGCCGCGGCAGCGCGGCGCCCGACCGCCGCGGCGCCTCCGCCTCCCCGGGCAGGGGCCCTGGGACAGGCGCAAACGAACAGGCACAAATCACTGGAGTCCCCCATAGTCTCCTGTGCCGTCTGGGCTCTCGC